TCGTGCAAATCCTAGTATCATCTGCAAAGGATGACACGGTGTTGTGGATTACGTCTTTGTATATGTCTGATATGAGGATGAGGAACAGGATGGGGGCGAGTACTGTGCCTTGTGGAACAGAGCTCTTCACTATGGCAGCCTCTGATTTAACTCTGTTGACCATTGCTCTTTGTGTTCGATTGGTTAGAAAGTTGAAGATCCATCTCCCCACTTTCCCAGTTATTCCTTTAGCACGTATTTTGTGCGCTATTACGCCATGATCACATTTGTCAAACGCTTTTGCAAAGTCTGTGTATAATACATCTGCATTCGGTTTTTCTTCCAGTGCATCCCAAGCTATATCATAGTGATCCAGTAGTTCCGAGAGGCAGGAGCGACCTGCTCTGAACCCATGTTGCCCTGGATTGTGCAGATTTTGGGAATCCAGGTAATTTGCAATCGTGCTTCTTAGCACTCTTTCAAAGATTTTTATGATGTGGGACGTTAGAGCTATTGGTCTATAGTTCTTAGCTAATACTTTGCTGCCACTTTTATGGAGTGGGGCTATATCCGTTGTTTTAAGTGACTGTGGAATTTCACCCATATACTTAGGGCACGGGAAAGGGGTTTTTTGCAGTTCTTAATGAACACGGAGTTCCACGAGCCTGGGCCTGGGGCTGAGTGTATGGGCATGTTGTCAATGGCTTTCTCAAAGTCTATACGAGTTAGGGTATGTCGGAAATATGCTAAACATTCTTACTCAACCCAGGATAGAACCCTGGTCTCTCATTTGTGAGCTGAAGGTGTTATCACTTGAGACACGAGGTACCTAATCTCTGCATGTTCTCTGTGTCTCTTTATGTTCTTTGTGTGAGCTCTGTGTTTCTTTTGGTTCTCCGTAATATCTATATGGTCTTACAGCTGTCCATATGTCTACCATGTTCTGCTTGTCTTCCCTCTGTCTTCTGTGTTCTCTCTATATTCTCTGTGTCTTCTGTGTTTTCTATGTGCTCTGTGTCTTTTCTGTTCTCTATGTGTTCTACGTGTCTTCTGTGTTCTCTATGTGTTCTCTGTGTCTTCTGTGTTCTCTATGTGTTCTCTATGTCTTCTGTGTTCTCTGTGTCTTCTGTGTTCTCTATGTGTTCTCTGTGTTTTCTGTGTTCTCTGAGTGTTCTCTGTGTGTTCTGTGTTCTACTGTGTGTTCTGTGTCTTCTGTGTTCTCTATGTGTTCTCTGCGTCTTCTGTGTTCTCTATGTGTTCTCTGTGTCTTCTGTGTTCTCTGTGTGTTCTCTGTGTCTTCTGTGTTCTCTATGTGTTCTCTGTGTCTTCTGTGTTCTCTGAGTGTTCTCTGTGTTTTTCTGTGTTCTCTGTGTGTTCTGTGTCTTCTGTGTTCTCTATGTCTTCTCTGCGTCTTCTGTGTTCTCTATGTGTTCTCTGTGTGTTCTCTGTGTCTTCTGTATTCTCTGTGTTTTCTCTGTGTATTCTGTGTTCTCTGTGTCTTCTGTGTTCTCTAGTGTTTCTCTGTGTCTTCTGTGCCCTCTATGTGTTCTCTGCGTCTTCTGTGTTCTCTGTGTGTTCTCTGTGTCTTCTGTGCTCACTGTGTCTTCTGTACTCTCTGTGTCTTCTGTGTTCTCTGTGTGTTCTTTTATGTCTTCTGTGTTCTCTGTGTGTTCTCTGTGTCTTCTGTGTTCTCTGTGTGTTCTCTGTGTCTTATGTGTTCTCTGTGTGTTCTCTGCGTCTTCTGTGTTCTCTGTGTGTTCTCTGTGTCTTCTGTGTTTCTCTATGTGTTCTCTGTGTCTTCTGTGTTCTCTGTGTGTTCTCTGTGTCTTCTGTGTTCTCTGTGTCTTCTGTGTTCTCTATATCTTCTGTGTTCTCTGTGTCTTTTGTTTCTCTGTGTCTGCTGTGTTCTCTGTGTGTTCTCTGCGTTTTCTGTGTTCTCTGTGTGTTCTGTGTTCTCTGTGTGTTCTGGGTTCTCTGTGTGTTCTGTGTTCTCTGTGTGTTCTCTGTGTCTTCTGTGTTCTCTGTGTGTTCTCTGTGTCTTTTGTGTTCTCTGTGTGTTCTCTGTGTCTTCTGTGTTCTCTGTATCTTCTGTGTTCTCTGTGTCTTCTGTGTTCTCTGTGTCTGCTGTGTTCACTTTGTGTTTTCTGCGTCTTCTGTGTTCTGTGTGTTCTCTGTATGTTCTGTGTTCTCTGTGTGTTCTCTGTATGTTCTGTGTTCTCTGTGTGTTCTCTGTCTGTTCTGTGTTCTCTGTGTGTTCTCTGCGTCTTCTGTGTTCTCTATGTGTTCTGTGTTCTCTGTGTGTTCTCTGTGTGTTCTCTGCGTCTTCGGTGTTCTCTATGTGTTCTGTGTTCTCTGTGTGCTCTGTGTTCTCTATGTGTTCTCTGCGTCTTCTGTGTTCTCTGTGTGTTCTCTGTGTCTTCTGTGTTCTCTGTGTGTTCTCTGTGTTTTCTGTGTTCTCTGTGTGTTCTCTGCGTCTTCTGTGTTCTCTGTGTGTTCTCTGTGTGTTCTGTGTTCTCTGTGTGTTCTCTGCGTCTTCTGTGTTCTCTGTGTGTTCTGTGTTCTCTGTGTGTTCTCTGCGTCTTCTGTTTCTCTGTTGCTCTGTGTTCTCTGTGTGTTCTCCTGCGTCTTCTGTGTTCTCTGTGTGTTCTCTGTGTGTTCTGTGTTCTCTGTGTGTTCTCTGCGTCTTCTGTG